CCAGCGTGGCTGCCCCAATGGGGACCCCCCCCCCCCCCCCCGCCTCCCCCCAGCGTCCCGCCCCCGCCCCCGCCCCGCCCACTGTCAGGAGCCGCTCGCTCCACACCTGCCCCCTACCTGCCGTTCTTGGAGTCCGTTTGGTCCCCAACCTGGGGAACTTCGCGGGGCAGAGCCGGCCCTTCCTCCCCGCCTCCGGGCTCAGGCCCATCCTGAAGCTGTGGGTGCGGGTCCTGGCCTGGCAGAGAGGAGGCAGGCCGGTCCCGGTGGGCGTGGCCCCAGGTCCCCGGTCCCGGTGGGCAGAACGCGGAGGAGGATAGAGATGGGGGCAGCAAACGGGCGGGCGCGGGGCGCGGGGCGCGGGGCGCGGGGCGCGGGGCGCGGGGCGCGGGGCGCGGGGCGCGGGGCGCGGGGCGCGGGGCGCGGGGCGCGGGGCGCGGGGCGCGGGGCGCGGGGCCAACGGGCGGAGCGCACCCAGGAGAGAGGGCGCCAAGGGGCTGAGCGGAGAGGCGGGGCAGGGGTCTGGGGGCTGCTCCAGGGGTCCGGGGACACGCAGCACAGAGTGCGCACAGGCTGGGAGGTGGCGGGGCGCGGCTGGAGGAGCTGGAGGTCACGGGGCGGCGGCGGAGAGGGCGTGGAGGCCCAGTGAGGAGGGACTGGGGCGGCTCGCTCAGGAGTTAAAATCTTGAGGGATTCAGGGTTTTTAAAAAATATATATTTTATTATTTTTATAGAGAGGAAGGGAGAGGGATAGAGAGTTAGAAACAGGGATGACGGAGAAACATCTATCAGCTGCCTCCTGCACACCTCCCACTGGGGATGTGCCTGCAACCAAGGTGCATGCCCTTGACCGGAATTGAACCCCGTCCCTTCAGTCTAGGCCGACGCTCCATCCACTGAGCCAAACCGGTTTCGGTGGACTCAGGGTTTTATATGCATTTTTCATATATATATATATATATATATATATATATATAATTTTTATTTATTTTTATTTTTTATTTTATATTTCTAATGTAAAATACACCATGCACCACAGACAAGAGAATACATGAAGCACATGCAGTTATGACACATGATAATACAGGTTCTGCCCACGAATGTGCCACCCAGGGGAGAACGGGCACCCAGTGCAGTGCCCGTCCCGCACCCGTCTCCCGGAGGCCCGCGGAGCCGCCCCGCACGCAGCCAGGGCCGGAGCCCCCTCCCCGGCTCCCCTGTCCGGCAGCGCCCCTCGGCCAGGCTCCGTGGATGCCTCTCGCCGGACGTGTCTCCTGATCACCCCCCTTCTGTTCCAACTGTGCCCCGCGAACCAGGGTCCGGGGTTTCCGGGGACGCAGAAAAGACTCCGGGGGGCGGGGTGGGGGAGAAAAGGGCAGAGACAGACACCGAAGTAGGCTTCTCTCCGCCTCGGCCCCCGAGAGGCCCATTGGAGAGCCGGGCTGTGAGAGGCCGCCGGCCATGATGGGGGAGTGTGCACCACGGGACCCCTGCCCGCGCACGGGCTGCGTCCCCCAGGCTGTGGTAACTGGTCCTTGGCACCTGTGCCCGCTTAGAACAGTACGTGGCTCCTTGGTGGCTTGGGCCACAGCCCCACCTCTGCCGGGGGAGGCGGAGGCGGCGCCGGGACCGGACAGGGCCCGCCCCATCCCTGTGGCCCCTGGTTGTCGAACTTCGTTTTGAGCGCCGGCTCTGTGTCTGGTGTCCGCCCAGCTCAGTGTGTGTGTTTGTGTGTGTGTGTGTGTGTGAGAGAGAGAGACGCAGGCCGCTCCATGGGACTGCGATCGGAGAGCGGGGGAGACACACAGTGAACAGACATCAGCGTGAGTTCTGACGAGTGCTCAGACCGGAAAGAAAGGGAGTGGGGGGCCAGCTTGGGGAAGAGGGGGGCCCCCCTGCAGGTGTCAGGGTCCTGGCCAGCCTGGACCACCCCGGCGAGCCCCCTCATTCGGGCTCAGGACGGAGGCGTTGCCCTCCCCGCGCCCAGACAGACTCACAGGCATGAGGGCTCCCTCTTACCTGGAACCTCTCCTGTCCAACAAGCTCTGGGGCACCCGCAAAGGGAAACGGAATGTGCCGCCCTCCTTCCCCTGTCCACCCCCCCCCCCAGGTGTCACCGGCCCAGGCCCGGCTGGGCACTGGCCTTGGGGTTCGGTTGCCGTTGAAACGTGTTCCCCTCCACATCCCGCGCTGAGCCTAGAACGTGACCTCATTCGGAGCCAGGGACTCTGCATGGACTGTGAGGCCCTGTGGGTGGCCTAGTCCGATAGGACCGGTCCCCTTACAGGAAGGGGTGAGGGCACACGGAGGAGGGCCCACCGTCCGCAACCGAGGAGAGAGGCCTCGGGAAAAGACCCAGCCGCACCGTGACCCTGGCCTTCCGGCCGTCAGAGCCCAGGCGCGCGAGGTCCGTGGTCTAGGCCACATGTGTCAAACGCAAGGCCCGCGGGCCAAATCCGTCTCGCCAGGCCTTGCAATGTGGCCCGCACCGCGCTGTCATCACTGCACTCCGCTGCGTTTCCATCACAATGACAGTTTATGACTGTTCAGTAAACCATTCGGCCCGCGATTTAGGCTGGATTTTAGATTTTGGCCCCTTCTCTGATTGAGTTCGACACCCCTAGTCTAGGCCGCCGGGTCTGGAGCAGCCGGAGCGAGGGAATGCGTCTCCTGGCTGATTCGCAGGCAGGAGTGAGGCTGGGTGGGACGAGGGCCGCGCTGCACTGGCCTCAGGCTGGGAGGCTGGGAGGAGGCTGAGAGGCTGGGAACAGGCCCAGAACGGATGCCCAGGGTCACTGCCCAGCTGGTTTTTCCACCTTTGCCGCCCCCCCCCCCCCGCCCCCCGTCTGCATATAGATTTTTCTACCTGAACACACCTCGGATCGAATTTCCCCGCACAAGGCAGCCCAGCTCCACTCCCTCAGGAAGATCTGAGCACACTTCCCGGCTCCGAAGTCAGTGCTTCTCAGACCTCAGCGCCTCAGTCCCCTGGACTCAGTCCCCTGGACGGGGCGGGGGTGACACGGAGACTCCGGGTGCATTTCTTTTCTTTTCTTTCCTTTTTTGTTGTTGTGTTAATCCTCACCCGAGGTATTTTTTCCATTGGTTTTTATTTATTAACATCTTTATTGATTTCTTTAGAGAGGAAGGGAGAGGGAGAGAAACATCAATGGTGAGAATCATTGATCGGCTGCCTTCTGCACCCCCCTACTGAGGACTGAGCCCACAACCCGGGCATGTGCGCTTGACTGGAATCGAACCCGGGACCCTTCAGTCTTCAGGCCGACATTCCATCCACTGAGCCAGACCAGCCAGGGCACCATGTGCGTTTCTAACAAGCTTTTAGGTGATGCCAATGCTGATGCCGCCCTTGAGTGGCAGCTGAGCTGCCTTCCCCTCCCCCACGGCTCATGTGCTCGCCCTCCTTCAACACAGTCCTGGCCCTTCCCAGCACCCCCTGCCCTGAGCCTCTGCCCAGCCCGGTCCCGCCATGTATTCCTGCTGCCAAGTCTGACACTGGGCAGATCCGGGACTTCCCAACTCGGGATAAAGGTGAACGGCTGTGCGGCTTCTGACAGGGAAAGCCGTGTTGGAATTCAGACCGTAGCTGGACGGCCTCTGCTAGAGCAGCGGTCCCCAGCTTCCTCATGCCGAGGCCTTTACCACAGCTCCCCATGTGGCGGCGACCCCCGCCATAACATTATTTTTGTTGCTACTTCATAGCTGTAATTTTGCTGCTGTTATGAATGGTAGTGTGAATATCTGTGTTTTCCGATGGTCTTAGGCTCTCCAGCAGCGGTTCTCAGCCTGCGGGTCGCCGGGGTGGGGCGAGGGTGCGGGCGCGGGCGCGGGCGCGGGCCCAGGAGCGAGCGGGTGGGCCGTGCCTCCCAGGCCAGCGCCAAGCAGCGTCAGGACCAACAGCGGGACCCGCGGGCAGAGAACCGCTAGCAGGGTCGCTAAGACCTTCGGAAAACACAGACATTCACATTACCATTCACAATAGTAGCAAAATGACAGCTACGAAGGAGCAACGAAAATAACGTTGTGGTTGGGGGTCACCACAGCATGAGGAGCTGTGTTAAAGGCCGCGGCATTACGAAGGCTGGGAACCGCTGGGTTAGAGGGTCAGGGGGGAGCTTGATAAAAATGCAGGTGTTTGAGGGCACCCCAGACACAGACCTCCCTGGGACACACACGCGAGCACACACACACGTGCGCACACACACATGCACACACGCACACATACGCACACACAGATGCACACGCGCGCACGCACACGCACATGCATGCACACACGCACATGCACACACACACACATGCACACGTACAGCTGTGGCCGCCCTGTCTGCGTACGGACCACTGGAGGGAGTCCCAGCGGGGCCGTGGATTGTCCCAGCCGCGCAGCCCAGGACCTGAGCAAGAACCCGGGTCCCCTTGGGCGCTGTGCCGCTCACTGGGCCTCGCTGCCTTTTCTGAGCTCAAAGGGGCCCCTCCTCTCCCCCCCCCCCACTTTCTTGGGCACCAGCTGGGCCCTGGCATTCCCAGCCGATGCTGAAACGGGGCCCCAGGGAACCATACAACTTGCAAAACTGAGAAAAACGGAGCAAAGGGCAGGGGAATGAGGCAGAGGAGAACCTCCGTGGGGAGGGTGGGGGGGAGGGAATGGGGAGCCAGGCCACGATGTCTAGGAAGCTGGGGAGCTGGGGGCGGGGCCTGGGAGGGCTCGGGGCACAGGCCTGGACACCACACCTTCCCTGGCCCCCAGGAGCCAGCCTCTGCCCCTCCACCCGCTCTGCTCTGTGACAGCCGCCCGTGCTTCAGGCCCAGAGGGGCCCGTTGGTCGGTCGGTCGGTCGGTCGGTTGGTGTGGCTTTCCTTCCCGGACACGGATTGCTGCAGACAGCCCAGCCCAGCTGGCAGGGCTAGGGCGCGGGCGTGGCACCAGGAGCCGGTGGCCGTGCCCTCCCCGGCCAGCGCCAGCAGCACAGGGCCAACAGCGGACCCGCCGCACCGCCTGGGGCTTAGGAGCCGCTGGGAGAGTGACTCAGCCGCGGCCCGGCTCCTGGAACTGACCAGCGGCTCCGGTGGGAGGCCCCCATCGCCATGTCACCGGCAGAGAAACTGGACCCGCTTCCTGACACCTTCATCCTGCAGCCGCCCGCCTTCCACCCGGTGAGCAGCCTCCTCCCCTCCCCTCCCTCCGCGGCGGCCTCAGGTGGCGGGTGGAGACACACGCAGCCCCAGCGGCTGCCCAGCACCTGCCCTCTGCTCCCGAAGGGCCTCCTGAGCTGGGCAAAGCGCTGACCAGCTGCTCCCACTGGTCTAAGGGGTCAGGGGGGAGCTTGATAAAATGCAGGTATCCCAGTGCACCCCCAGACACAGACCTCCCACACACACACACACACACACACACACACACAGCTGTGGGCACCCTGTCTGCGTACTAAGAGGGAGACTAAGAGGGAGTGCTTGCATTTAAAAAGCAGGAGAGCTGTGAGCAGGAGGGCCTGGGGGAGGGGGTGACAGGAGGGCCTGGGGGAGGGGGTGACAGGAGGGCCTGGGGGAGGGGGTGACAGGAGGGCCTGGGGGAGGGGGTGACAGGAGGGCCTGGGGGAGGGGGTGACAGGAGGGCCTGGGGGAGGGGGTGACAGGAGGGCCTGGGGGAGGGGGAAGCAGGAGGGCCTGGGGTGTGGATAGTATTATTGGGGGGACACTGAGCACCTGGTGGGGAGGAAGGAGGGAACTTCCACGTCAGGGAAGGGCGGGCTTCCTGGCTTCCTCCTCCGGCTGTGGCTGTGTCCGCTGGGATTTGCAAAAGGCGGAGCTTTGCAGAAGGAGCGGCAGGCCCCGGGATGGGAGCCAGCCCAGCCGAGCTGTGGGTGCTCTGGCCTTTGGACCCCTGCACCTCTCCAGGCCCTAGCGATGGGGAAGCAGCTGTGTCTGCACTCCCCCTTTCATTCTTCCTCCCTTCTCCCCCCCCCCCCCCCCCCAGCCCCTCCTAGCTTTCCAGGTGCAGCTCCCGCTCAGTGAGGTCGGAGGTCAGCGGGAGGTGCAGGTGGCCCGGGCCTCTGGAGGTGCTGGGGGTGGGGAAACTCTGCAAGGCTGGTCCTGTGACCCCGCCCGCTGTGCACCTGCTGCGGACACCTGTTCAGAGCCCACGCTGTGCCAGCCGGGCACTGAGCCCACTGCGGGAGAGGCGGGCTGCGGCTTTGAGGCCTTGTGCCCGTGAGCCAGCTGGCAAGGGCCGCGCTTGCAAACCGGCCGTGCTCTGGAGCGCGGGGAGGGGAGACGGATTCAGACACTAAAGGGTGTGGTGCCAGAGAAGGTGCCAGGAACCTCGAAGGAAGGTCCAGTCGGGGGCGGGTGCGGGGTGCGGAGGAAGCAGCCGGAGAGGCGGGGAGCGCAGAGCGCGCTGTCAGTGGCTGCCCGGCAGCTTGGAGGCCAGTGTCAGTTCCTGTCCAGGCGTCCGCATCAAGGCCCTGCTCAGGTGCCCGCCTATCTGTCCCCTCTTGTCCGTCCCCCTGCCTCCCAGTCCCAGGCTCTGGCCAGGGAACAGGCCTCAGGGAGCCTTGCGAGTCTACTCCTGCCGGCCGGGGTGCAGCAGCGGACGGCCAGCCTCCCCGGGCACTGCTGGGCGCTGGGGGCGGGGCGGGGCGGGGCTGGCGAAGGTGAGGGAGTTTGGGGTGGGGGGTTTGGGGAGGTGAGGGGTTTGGGGGTGGGGGTGTGGGGCGCACAGAGGAGCTGAATTTGGCTTCTCCAGGGCAGTGTGGCTGCGACAGGTAAGGGTGCAGGAAAGGGGAGAGAAAACTAATCCCCCAGCTGCTTGTGGAGGGGAGGAGATGGGGGGGGGGTGTCAAGTTTTCTCATTCTTGGGATATGGGGTCCCTCGTGGGGTATGGGGCCCTCGGCCTCCTCTCCAATCAGCAGGGTGCGTGTCTCCCTGGTTCAGGTGGTTCCTTACGTCACAACCATCTTCGGGGGTTTGCGCGCCGGCAAGATGGTCCTGCTGCAGGGCGTGGTGCCGCTGGCCGCGCGCAGGTGAGGGCGCTCCGGGGGTGGTGGAAAGGGGGGATGGAGGGGTAGGGGAGCGGGGGGTGGGAGACAGGGGAGTGGGGGGGGGGGGGCTCAGCCACTGGCGGAGCAGGGCTCCTCCCGGCCTCCCTCCCCGCCTCCGGGCCTCTGAGCGGAGTGCCGCCCGCAGGTTCCAGGTGGACTTCCAGTGCGGCTGCAGCCTGCACCCCGCGCCCGACATCGCCATCCACTTCAACCCGCGCTTCCACACGGCCCAGCCGCACGCCATCTGCAACGCCCGCCAGGCCGGCCGCTGGCAGGCCGAGGCCCGCTGGCCCCGCCTGGCCCTGCGGCGCGGGGACAGCTTCCGCCTCCTCTTCCTCTTCGGGCACGAGGACATGAAGGTGCGGGCCTGGGCCCGGGCCCCCGGGCCTAGAACCGGCGTCCTTCCTCCCGTCTTCCCAGTGTTCTTCCGCCCGTCCTTCCCGTGTCCTCCCCCGTGTCCTTCCGCCCGTCCTTCCCCGTGTCCTTCCCCGTGTCCTTCCGCCGTCCTTCCCCGTGTCCTTCCGCCGTCCTTCCCCGTGTCCTTCCGCCCATCCTTCCCGTGTCCTCCCCCGTGTCCTTCCGCCCGAGATTCCCCGTGTCCTTCCCCGTGTCCTTCCCGTGTCCTTTCCCGTGTCCTTCCCCGTGTCCTTCCGCCCGTCCTTCCCGTGTCCTTCCCCGTATCCTTCCCGTGTCCTTCCCCGTATCCTTCCCGTGTCCTTCCCCGTGTCCTTCCCGTGTCCTTTCCCGTGTCCTTCCCCGTGTCCTTCCGCCCGTCCTTCCCGTGTCCTTCCCCGTATCCTTCCCGTGTCCTTCCCCGTATCCTTCCCGTGTCCTTCCCCGTGTCCTTCCGCCCGTCCTTCCCCGTGTCCTTCCCCGTATCCTTCCCGTGTCCTTCCGCCCATCCTTCCCCGTGTCCTTCCCCGTGTCCTTCCCCGGGTCCTTCCTCTGTGGAGTCCCCCGAACTGTGTTCTGGGGCGGGGGGGGGCGGGGTGTGTGTGTCAGGGGCCCAGAGGACCGAGGAGGTGCCGGCCGGGGCCCGATGCGAGCTGCGCTGAGCGGCCCCGCCCGGCAGGTGAGCGTGAACGGCCAGCACTTCCTCCACTTCCGCTACCGGCTCCCGCTGTCCCGTGTGGACACCCTGGGCATCTCCGGGGACGTCCTGGTGAAGGCCGTTGGGTTCCTGAACGTCAACGTAAGTTCCCGTGGGGCCGGGCCGGTGTGGCCGTGGCCTCTGACCTCCTCTGGCACAGACAAGTCCTGTGGGGCCAGCCGTGACCAAGGTGGGGGTGTGGAGGGCCGGCCATGAGTGGGGTGAGGGCGGGAGAGGTGACGGTGAGCAGGGGTGCAGGAGCCGGGACGGAAGCCCACACTGGGCGTGGGGCCCGGTCAACATGGGAGCAGAGGCCGGGAGACCGGGCAGTTGGAGACGTGGCCCGAGGGGTTCAGACATAGCAGCTGCTGTCACTCCCCTGAGGGTGTGTGCAAAGGCAGGCTTCTGGGGGCCGAGGCCTGATTCCAAGTCTGAGGTGGAGCCTGGGAAGCCATCAGGCCAGCCCTGAGCAGCGCTCAAGGCCCAAGCGACCTCTGCCAGCATCCAGGCCAGGCAGGCAGGCAGGGCCAGGCAGGGCCAGGCAGGCAGGGCCAGGCTGGCAGGCAGGGCCAGGCAGGCAGGGCCAGGCTGGCAGGCAGGGCCAGGCAGGCAGGGCCAGGCAGGGGCAGGCAGGCAGGGGCAGGCTGGCAGGCAGGGCCAGGCAGGCAGGGCCAGGCAGGGGCAGGCCAGCAGGGCCAGGCAGGGGCAGGCAGGCAGGGCCAGGCAGGGGCAGGCCAGCAGGGCCAGGCAGGGGCAGGCAGAGCCAGGCAGGCAGGCAGGGCCAGGCAGGCAGGGCCAGGCAGGGGCAGGCAGGCAGGCAGGCAGGGCCAGGCAGGCAGGCAGGCCGGGCCAGGCAGGGGCAGGCAGGTAGGGCCAGGCAGGCAGGCAGGGGCAGGCAGGCAGGGGCAGGCAGGCAGGGCCAGGCAGGCAGGGCCAGGCAGGCAGGGCAGGCAGGCAGGGCCAGGCAGGCAGGGCCAGGCAGGCAGGGCCAGTGGCCCTTGGAGGGCTGTAGTCCTGATCCCGGGGTTGCCTCTTCTCTTTCCCAACAGCCGTTTCCAGAGGGGGGCAGCGAGTACCCAGTTGGACACGTGAGTCTTTTGGGAGCAAGAAGGGCCCTTGTCCCAGACGCTGGAACTGAGCCCCTGTTCTCCCTCCCCCGGCGTGACCTGTCCCTCACCTGCTGGGCTGCTGGTCCCCGGCACATGTATGGTCGCTATGGATACAACTAGCTCTGCCTTGGCCCCTGGAGAGCCTGGATTGGCCTTGCCCAGCGCCCAGCTGTCTCCTGGGCCAGCTTGGGAAGAGGGGTGGGGGAGGGGGTGCCCTGAACGGGCAGCCCCGCATTCATGCAGAAGATCCCTGTATATCGGAGCTTCCGATTCCCACAGCCCACAGCTGGGCTGGCCTGGCCTGCGGGGTGGGGGGTGGTGGTGTTGGGGGGGATGAGGCACAGATATCGCCAAGGCCACGTGGTGAGGAGGGACAGACCCTCTGCCAGTCCTTCCCCGTGTCCAGAGCTGGCGTCCATCTGAATTCCCGAGGGGCCCACCAGGCCCCACTCGCTCACCGGCACGGTCTCTGAGAGTGACCAACCCCACACACTGACGGCACTGCCCAGCGTCTCCCTCTCACTGTGCGAGCCCCGCCTGACCTCCGCGTCCCTCTTCTTTCCTTACAGCCCTTCCTGCTGGGGAGCCCCCGGCTGGTGAGTGAGCGCCCCAGCCCGCACCTGCCCTCGGGGAGGAGGCCCCCACGGGGGGGGGGGAGTGCCCCCCCACTTCTCCCTTCAGAGAGAATTGTGGTGTGGGCGGCAGCGGCAGGCTGCGTGCGCTCCAGCCTTGCCTTCATTCTGCTCAGTTACTGGATCCTCCCCGGGCCAGGCTCCAGGGGAGAGGGACAAGCCAGTCCCCAGGCTTCCAGCTGCCCACAGGCTGGTGGGAGGCAGACCAAGGAAATGGCCGTTACAATTTGGGGTGCAGGATGGGGGGCATCCGTGGTGCCCGCAGCACAGCGGCAGGGAGCTCGGCCTGGGAAGGCAAGGAGAGCAGGGAGAGCAGGCAGAGGCCAGGCCGGCAGGGTGTCTGCTAAACGGGCAGAGCCGAGTCCCCCCCGCTGCAGGCCTAGAGGCAGAGACTTAGCTGCTGCAGGGCCCCCTGCCCCTGAGGGTGGCCCCAAAGCTGCTCCTGGGGCGGCAGCCCTCCCCAAGCCTCTGTGAGTCCCCTCAGGCGCCTCCTGTGTTCCCTCAGGAGGTGCCCTGCTCGCGCCCCCTCCCCCGGGGCCTCTGGCCGGGACAGGTCATCCTGCTGCGGGGGCTGGTCTTGCCGGAGCCCAAGGAGTGAGTATGCCCCCGGAGGAGGGAGCACCCCTGCTTTACACCCATTTGCCTCTTCGTCTCCAAAGCCACCATTAAGCCCGTTTTATGGAGGAGCGGACGGAGGAGCGGAGAGGAGTCAGCTGGTCGGGGTTGCAGAGCTTGCACAGGGCGGGCTGGGTTTGGGGTTGGGACCCAGCTGCCTTCTGGGCCCAGCAGCCCCAGTGCTGGGCGCCCTCGCTGGGGCCTCCCTGGAGAGGCGCGGGCCGAGCCCGGAGAGGGCGCACGCTGGGAAACAGCAGGCGCCAGGAGAGGCGGCGGTGCTGGGGGGGAGGACTTGGGGGGACAGATAGCCAAGGAGACACTGCCTACTTCCCCCGCTGGGGGCACCCCTGCTCCACCCCCCAACCCCGCCCTCCTCTTTTCCTTTTCCTGGCACTGCATTGGACGCCCTGGCCTTTCTGGGCCTCACTGCCTCCTGGGTTTGACGGGGTGTGTGTGGGGGACCATTACTGCCTGTGGAACCTCAATTCCTTCCCTTTCTGTGCCTCAGCTTCTTTGCCATGAGAGGGGTGATAATGCTCGGGGCCGGGTGAATGCTCCCAATTGTGCCAGACCCACAGCTGGTGTCTGTATTCGATTTCCCCGAGGAGGAGGGGCGGGGACTCGGGGACGCCTCTGTGCTCCCACCCTTTCCGTTGGCTCTGTTACTGTGTTGGAGGTCACTGCCTCACTCACCCCCTGCCCCCTCCTGCCCCAGCCCTGACAGCGGTCCTCAGAACCAGGCTCCGCCGTGTGGTCTCTGGGGCAGCCCCCTGCTTTCCGCGTCAGGAATCCCGAGTTCCCCACCAGGAAAGCAAAAGGAGAGATGATCCCGGCCATACAGGGACACGAATGTTCCCAGGGATAAAGTACACCGTCCCCTGTCCCCCCAAAACACGAGGCGTGAGGCCAGGCTCTGGCCCCGCTCGGAGGCCGTGGTTTGAGGGACACGGCGGGCGAGCCCGGGCCCCCGAGGCCGGACAGGTGGCGGAGCGGGCTGGGGCGTGGGGCAGGGAGATCATGCGTCCGCAGTCCGCGCGCGTGAGGGATGGGATGGCTTCGAAGGGGAAGCGGGAGCCACCCTCACACAAGCGCTCGCAGTGGAAAGGGAGTGGCTTTCGGGCGGAAGACGGGCATGGCCGCCCGGACACCGTACGGGCCACTGGCCGGCCCCCACCGGGCGCAGCGGTGGCTGCAGGCAGTGCCGCCGCCGCCGCTGTCGCTGGTTTTACGAACGGGGCGAGCGTGTGCACTGAAGTGTGTCCTCCTCCTCGGACCCGTCCCCCCAGCACTGAGGATCTGGGGCTCAGCAGCAGCCTCAGAGAGCACCCCCAGAGCTGCCCCGGGCCTCCCGAGGGAGTCAGTACCCCCGGGGCTGAGGGGGGACACTGAGGCCCCCAAGGGTTCTCAGGCCCCTGGGAAGACAGGGCTTTTCTGGGGAGGAGTCTGAGGGAAACTGAGGCACAGAGCCACTGACTCGCCCAGGGCCACGGGACCCAGGCAGAGCTGAGCCCAGGCAGCCCCATCTAACCCCTTACTACCTGGCACACGCCCTCAGGAAGCGCTGGCATCGCTAGTACCGCCATTGTCCCCGTTCCGAGGAGGGGAAACCGAGGCTCGGGCGAGGTCGTGGCTCCCCCGGGGTCCTGGGGCCAGTGAGTGGCCACGTGGGGGTTCAGTCTCCGCGTGAGGTTTCTGCAGGCGGTTCGCTCCGCACTGTCGGGTCCAGGGCTGCTTTCTGGGGGCGGGAGGCCCACCCCTCCGGGCCCAGCAGCCACAGCAGCTGGGAGGGGTGGGGGAGAGAGGGGGGAGGAAGCTGAGCCCCTTTTCGGCTCCTGCCCGCAGCCTCACGCTGAGCCTGCTGGACGCGGCCGCGCGGGTGCCCCTGGCGCTCAGGGCCTCCTTCGCGGACAGGACACTGGCCTGGGTGTCGCCCTGGGGGCGGAGGCAGCTGATCTCCGCCCCCTTCCTCTTCCACCCCCAGCGGTTCTTTGAGGTGGGTCACAGCCCAGCACTCCCCTTGGGCACCGATCGAGGAGGGGGTGAGTCCAGGGACCTCCATGCCAGGGCTGTCCGCCTGGCACTGTGGCCCGGGACCCAGGGACCGAGAGGGGCCTGGCACCGGCGTGGAGGGCACAGCTGGCACAGGACCTGGGGCTGAGGCCGAGCTGAGCGGGCCCTGGTGGGAGGATGGTGACCAGCGGGCCCGTTCTGTGCGGGCCCAGCACCCGGTGCCCCGGGGCCTGGGGAGGAGGAGGGCAGCTGGGCGGGCAGCGGGAGGCAGGGAGGGCTCAGCGGGACGCCGCGGCCTCACGCCCTCCTTCACCAGGTGCTGCTGCTGTGCCACGAGGGCGGGCTGAAGCTGGCGCTCAATGGGCAGGGCCTGGGCGCCACCAGCCTGGGCCGGCAGGTCCTGGAGCGGCTGCGGGAGCTGCGTGTCAGTGGCACCGTCCAGCTGTACTGCCTGCACCACTGAGGCCGGACAGGGGGGCCCACCAGCTGCCCGCCCCGGCTCTGCCCGCCCCTCCGAGCGCCTGCCTGCTGCCCCATGCCAGGCCCAGCTCCTTCCGGGGACTGCAGAGGGCAGGAGGGGGTGTGAGGGCGCCTCCAGCTCTGCCCTCCCTCCCCCAGGAGCCGGGCTTTGCCTCCGTCTGCCTTCAGGCCCGGAGAGGAGGCGGGTTGTGTAGCTGACCGGGCACTCGGAGTCCTGGCCCAGGGCAGGGAGAGGCCCGCCGCCCTCCTGACAGCAGGGAGGGGGCGCCCACGGACCCCAGGGTCGTCCTGACCAGCTCCCACCGCCCCAGGCCGGCCAGCGCTATCGGTGTGGCTCTGCTGCCCGCACTTCCCACACACCTGGTTCTTGTGAGAAGCCAGGGACACAGGCGGGATGGAGGGTGGGAGGAAGGGTGGATGGAGGGCTGGAGGGAGGGAGAGGCGTGGTGGGCTTGTCCCCTGTCGCAGAGTTGGCCCCTGGCGCCAGGGCAGAAGCAGCTCCGTCCCCCGGTCAGCGCTCCCGCTCAGGGTCCCATGGACGGTCCTGGACGTGCGGCTCCCCCGTCACGGCCATGGCACTGCCCCGGAGGAGAAACACCGGCCGGGGGTCGCCTCCTGGCACCTGCAGGAGCTCAGAAGCCGTGGGTCTGGGCCAGTGGTCGGCAAAGAGTCCACAGAGCCAAATATCAGCAGGACAACAATTGAATTTTCTTTGGAGAGCCACATTTTTTTTTAACTTAAACTTCTTCTAATGCCACTTCTTCAAAATAGACTCACCCAGGCCGTGGTATTTTGTGAAAGAGCCACACTCAAGGGGCCAAAGAGCCGCATGTGGCTCGCGAGCTGCGGTTTGCTGACCGCTGGTCTGGGCAAACACCATGTGTTCATTGGAAAGGCGTGGGGAGTGGCATCCACCGAGCGGGCGGTTGTGCGAATTTGTGAGTTGGAATTGCTTAACAGGCGCGTACCGAGTTGGAATCAATAAATGGTGGCTCGTACTGCTAGGAAACTGGGCCATTTACATTAATCTTCCTTTAACTCTCTCCCCCCATCTATATACATATGGTCCCTTTACATTACTGCCATGTTTTCTACGTGTCCCATGGTTCCTCTATCCTCTTCTCTTCTCCGTCTCTTTGGACCTGACTGAGTGCTGTCTGTTTGTATTTCACCCGGATCATGGACTCACCAGCGGGCCCCTCTCCTGTGCTTTTAGTGACGGCTCAGGGCGGACGCTCCGCCTCACACCAATGCCGTCCAGAGCCCCATCCGGCCAAGCCGGGGCCTGTGCCTCGCGGGGCATTTAGCAGCATCTCTGAGCTCTGCCCACCGTGCCCGCAGCACCTACAGGGTGTCCTGCCGCCCCACCCGCTGTGCCAGAGCCTCCCAGGCCCGCAGGAGGCGTCAGTGGCAAGCAGGTTTCCATAAAGCCTCTAGAAGGAGCTTTACTGCTCATGTGGCCGAGGCAGGGACACCCACTCCCTCTGCAGGGCCACTGGCCGGCGGGCGGCGATGTGGGGGGTGATTGGGGGGTCCTGGGCTGGTGGGGCAGCTCAGGTTTCCTTCCGACGCTGGGAGACACGCTCTGCATGGAAGAGCGAACGGCTCACTGCATCAGAAGATGGCGCCTCGGAGCCTGTCCTACATGGACGTGTGCAATAACCTGACCCAACGGCGGGCTCCCCGGGGCCGCAGTCCCCGGGAGGGGCCTGAGCAGGCGTGGAGCCCCATCTCTGCCCCTGCTCCCCCTGCTCCCCTGCTCCCCCTGCTCTGCCTCGTCCCCCTCGTCCCCTCCTCCCCCTGCTCCCTCTCCTTCCCCTCCTCCCCCTGCTCCCCCTCCTCTCCCTGCTCCCCCGGCTCCTTCTGCTCCCCCTGCTCCCTCTCCTCCCTCTCCTCTCCCTCCTCCCCCTCCTCCCCCTCCTCCCCCTCCTCTCCCTCCTCTCCCTGCTCCCGGAACTCGGGACCTCTCCCCTGGACCCTGGGCTGCCATTCCCAGGCACAGAGATGTGGACCCCAATCCCCACCAGGGCACGGTCTCAGCAAAGCCTTCAGAAGCGCTGGGCCGCAGACAGTAGGCAGGCCAGGGGCTCCTGCTCCCCGCGGGGGACCCCCAGCAGGTGGCGCCTTAGAACAAGGGGCCAGGAGCTCACTGGCCTCGGGGTGCCTGTGGGTGGGAGAAGCAGAACTTCCCTGAGAGCGGCTTCCGAAGCCGCCCTCTGTCCTGGGACTGGGGAGGGGTGGGGAGGAGGTGGGGAGGCAGGGCACAGGCTCCGCCCAGCAGCTCTGCAAAGAGGCTCTTTTGGCCCAAATGACCTCAGGAGCGTTTTCATCCCGGGAGAAGGGAGAAGGTGGCGATGGGGCTGGGTAGGAGCCACCAGAATGGAAGCTGGGGGCAGAGCGGCCTGGAGACACTCGGCTGTCGTACCGGAGGGACGGAGCAGGAGGAGCAGGGGGAGGGGGCGGGGGGACAAGGGGATTCAGCGGGAGCTCCCGGACTCTCCGGGAGGGGGGGGTGCGTAGGTTAACACTTTCGGGGACTGAGCCGGGTACAATGGAGCAGGGCACACCCCTCGGCTGCGTGGCCACACAGGTGCCAGCTGCCCACAGACCGTGAGAAGGCGTGTACGTGTCTGCAAAAGCACACGCACCGCAGGGCTCCCTTAGTCCTGACGCCCCCTGCCTCCCGCTGAGCTGTCTGCTGCCCCACGGCTGGCGGCTCGGGCTCCCGGGGGGCCGTGTGTCTTATGGCTGCGGGCACCCCCCCCCCCACTCGAGGCTTCCTCCAGGGGCAGCAGCACAGACTTGCCAGGTGTGCACACAAATGGCTCCCCCGCTTCGCAGTTTCTCTGGGGACACACTTCTGGTTTTACCCCCAAAGCCCTGGGCACCCGGGTTTCCATCGCCCTCCCCCTCTCACCATGGGGCTCTTTCTTTCGGGGCTTCAGCTCCTGCAGAGCCCAGCGCCCCCTCCTTCGCTCTCCTGGCAGCGGGGACACCCCTGTCGCACAGGCACTGCGGTTCCCCTCGGAGACCTAAACCCGCACGGCTGCCCCAGCTGGGGCACCGCACCTTCCCCCACACCCGGCACCCGGAAGATCAGGTTTCTGCTCAGCGGTACACTTAGTCGGCATTTTCAGGGGGAACATTTTCACATTCGTGATGGGACGGTGGACTTGGGGCTGACAACGGGGAGGGAAAGGCGTCCCGGGGTCTGGCGTGTAGAATAGCGTTTCTCGTTGGGAAAACACACATTTGCCACAAAAGCACCCAATCCAAGTGACGGGGTGTGACAAGTGCCACTCAGGAGCAGTCCTGGGAGCCTCACCCTCGTCACTCACGGAGCAGATCTGCGGGAGAGCCCGTTTCCCTCAAGGGCAAGGGCACGCGCATGGTCAGCTGTCCTGGGAGACACCAGTCCGGGTGGCTCAGGTGTCAGGGCCGGAAGCCATGCTGGGACAGGGAGGTGTCCCTCCATGGAGTGTGGCCCGGGATGTTGGGGCCTGGACCCCGGGAGGGCCAGGTCCCAGCGTCGCCTGTGGAAGGCAGATCAGGGTCCTGGCAGGGACAGGCATCTTGACTGTGTAAATACACGAACCCACGTGCGTCCTGGATCGGGGCATGGTCACATGACATCGTGGCAGTGATGTTATCCCCCAGCTCTTCTTCCTTCTGGTAAATTCCCTTTATTAGCTCCAGGCTGGGGTTTGCTGAGCTCTGGGGGTGGAGGGTCCAGACTTGAATATCTTTGGGATGGGAAGCAAAGTGGGAAGTGCCCCCTGTCTGCAGGGCCAGAGGAGTGGCAGCCCTGGTGACCCCACCACCTGGTGACACAGGTGGACGCTCTCCGGGGGCCACCTCTGGGGAAGCTTGGTGGCAGACACAGCAGCCCAGCAGCCTTGAAGGGGCAGGGGGTTGCCACTTCCAAGCCCACATGAGACGCAAACCGGAAAACAGTTGGGACTGACATCCAGAAATCAGACCCAGAGCAGACTGAGCCCATGAAGTGACAGTGATCTCACACAATAGTCATGGGCAGGACAGGCTGGACCCTGTGTGTTAGCTTCTACCTTTATCGCGGTGGAGGTTGGCCCCTGAGGCACTGCCGTGGCAGGAGGTGTCTGCCTGCTCTCATGCTGGACTCATCGCCGGATGCTGAGGTCAGGCAGGGGAATTTGAGTCCCTTGTCCACCCAGAGAGTAAAAGTAATCGAGGCAGGAGCCAAAGTGAGTGGAACCAATTTATTGAACGTCTGCTGATGGCCGGCAATGTGCTAAGGAAGCCCGCGGCGAGGCAGGCCCCCCCCCCCCCCCCCCATGTGGCAGAGAGGGAACTGAAGCTCAGGTTTCAAGGGTCTTTTTCAAGATGAGCCAGTGGAAGTGGCCAATGGGTGCTCAATGGTCGATGCTTCCTTTCCAAAGATTTTTTTCCAGTTTTGTTTTTAATTTCAAGAAAAATGATTTAAAATATAATAATGTTACATAAATACCAATTATTCAAGAGAAAGGATCTTACACATAATGTTACATGCAATAAATATTAATATTTCAAGAATGTCCAAAGATGCTTGGGTTTGCAGGAAAACAGTGGAAATATTTGATGAAGGGGTCACTGGACTCATTCATTTCCTTCCTCAAGAAGCTGTGGTCTTGTTAGAAGTGGCTCCTCAAGATGCCAGGGCGAGAGAGAACCAGGCACAGGGGGACAGCTGGTGCTTGACGCAGCCTCTAACTGGAGACTTTAGTGGCTTCTTCATGTACTCATTGCTTCTGGGGAGCACTGGGAAGCAGCCAGGATTGTGGCACAGCCTCAGAAGCACCAGCTGACTCACACGCCACCCTGAGGAGAACAGTGCATTGCTCAGAGTTAGAAGGAAGTCCCAGACTGATGGCCCCTCCCTCTCAAGTCACACAAACACATGAATTCTCCTTTCTCCAGGGAAGAAGCGGACTGTGTCCCCAAGAGCTCATGTCTGAGCAGCTCTGGGCCTGAGGTCCTCTGGGGGATGGGGGGAAAGTGATCTTATCTGGACCCCGGCTCATCCCTGACAACCTCCAGGACTTTTCAGGCTCTGCCTTCAGAGCGGAGCACAGAGGTAAAGGACTGCACGTGCTCAGAGCCAGCCAGGCCCTCCCTCCCAGGTCCTCCACCTGCCGCCGCCTCCCGCACACGAGGAAGCCCTCAGCGGACGGGATGCCGTTTGGGGTTGTTCGCAGGCAGCACAGTATCTGGAAGGACCCAGACAGCTGTGAGCATGGAAGGCGAGAGGAAGTGCTGCTGCGGAACTAGGGATGAGAGGGCCCCAGTGCATCCCGGAAGCTATGCTGATGAGCCTCTGGAAGCCAGTTCTCCTCTGAGCCTGGGCCCCTCCTCTGGAGACAGGACAAGGAATGCTTGCTCATTGGCCACGGGCCTGTGGGAGGAGCAGCTGCTAGTCAGAGTGGCTCACACTGAGCGGAGCTTCCCCGATCATGTAATGCTCACAGGAGCCATGATGTGGAGGGGGCAGAGGCACGTGACCGGTTCTGGATAGAAAAACGAGTCCAGGCAGGAGAGTGAGCCTGTAGCAGGTCTCCTGGTTGGTCAGGGTAGTGCCAGCATCTACACCCGCTTTTCCTGGCATGCAGGGCAAGGAGCCCTGCCGGGGTTACACTGGTGACCCTTCACAAAAGGTCTCCCCTCTGAAAAGGGCCCTTCAAAGAGCAGAAAGCCGTCGGACTCAGTGGACAAAACACTGCTCTTGGAGTCAAAGCAATTGGTTCACACCCTGAAGTGTGCAAGCAGCTTTGGGGCCTTGGGCTGGTTAAGTGCTTGGTCCCTGGGTGCTCCCATAAGAGATGTCAGGGGGCGCCAAGAGCTGCCCCCCATCCTCCTGTAAAGAGAACTCCACGTGGAATCAGCCCCTCGGGCTCTTACCTGTTGGCTGCAGGGCGGCCAGTTCTCAGTTTTGCGACAAAGTGCTCACAGTTGGGAAACAAAGGTTGTCATTCCAGGTTTCCCCAACTTTCTTCCGCGCCAAACTGACAATGTCATGCCCAGGCCGGGGTCTGACCTTGTTATCCAAGTAGTTGTTGACCTTGACCTTGTTGCCCTCTGCCACTGCTCTCAGAGGTTCCCATTTCACCACATAGTCACGTACATTGCTGGAACAGCTCGGCCCGCAGGACACACCTGGGAACACAGAGAGATTCTAAGAAGCTGCCACCACAGCAGTGCCACGTTGGACAAGGAGGGGAAGAAGAAAGGAAGTCACTCTACTGACATCATGGGCCCATGAGGTCATGGGCCCTTCCTTCTACAGTTTTCCCTCTTGCTGGAAGCTAAATTGAGCAGCAGTGCCATTGCTTGATCCACACGTTTGTAACGTAAGTACTTAAGGATCTGTTGCCAGCAGGTTCCAGAGCAACAAGTGGCAGCTCCGTAATAACGTAGAATGGCTGCCGTGGCATTCCACTGATGTGAGACTTTGGTGTGTTTAACAACTCTCCGATTGTTGGGTGTGTCAGTTATTTAAACTTGTCTTTGACAACACACAATGCAATCATAAAAGTGCTTGCAGATGGTGCATCTTTGGGCATGGGTCTGACTCAAAGTTTTGAGTTTTTCAGAATCTACCTGGAAGAAGCCAGTCTCAACTGATTCTCTTACCACCTCTCCCAGGTGGTGACTTGTCTCCATTTCACAGGACACATTTTGAGCCAGAAAACTTAAGTGACAAAAGTTGTGGAGCAAGGATTCGAAAGAACTCCAAAGGCCTAGCAATTTCTACTGTTGTGTGGCAGCTCGTTTTCTTATGTCCTATCACCTGGCTTAGTTCTGGACGCTTAAGAGAGAGTCATAACAGAATTGTCAACTGATGGAGTCCCCATCCCATTCCTTAGTGTAAAGATCTGACATGTCATAGTTCAAAAGGAAACAGATGCTATTAGCACAGCAGTGAGTTCTTTTATTCCCTCTTTTCAACATAAAGCTGGTGATTAAACAAATAAGTTATCTTTACCTTTAGTTGCCGCATGGATCACATAGCCGGCTCCCACATAGATTGCCCAGTGCTTATGGACACCTTGACTGATTTCAAGCAGGTCTCCAGGCATTGGGTCATCACTTGACTACAACAGAAAAGCAGAGAGTGCAGACAGACGGCAGGAAGCAGCAGAGGCCTGGCTGGAGGGCAGTAGTAACCCCTGGAGAGGAGCCTCTGGGACTGCTGGGGTCACCAGCTTTGCTGTCACTCAGAGAAGCCCCGGGATTAGGAGGGACAGGAAGCCTGGACAAAGTTGGGTCGAAGCCTCTCCTCTCAGGTCCCTGGCACATTGGCCCCACCCCATTGCTCCTGCCCCATTGCTGGGCATGAGCCTGGCTTTCATCTGCTCTGACACGTCCACATCGGAGCCTGCCTGCAGCGGAGAGACCGCCTCCCAGGCTGCCGGTTCCTGAGGACAGCTCACACCCGCCCTTCACGGGCTCTGCTATGCCAACGACCCAGGCTCACTGCGCCACTGCCCACCGCCCCAATGGCCCAGGTCCAGGTCCAAGCCCACTAGGGGCAGCGCCTCCCCTAGAGCCTGCAGAAACTGTTCCCCCAGCCAGTCCTAAGCCTGCCCACCCCCTCAGTCACTCCTCCCGCAGAAACCACAAGCAAGGCTCTTGCCCACGCTTCTCCCCACTTTCTCAGCCCCCTCCCCAGCCCAGTGCTCCCTCCTGTGGCCCTGAGTGGCGGGCCATGCCCCCTCCTCTTGGGAACTGGGAGTCACAAGCTATCTTCTCTGCAATCGCCTCCTGACCGGTTGTCTTTCCCGAATCTCAATGACTATTAATATGCAAGTGTTAGAGCAGGATGTCCACAGGGGTGCTGAGTAGCCTCCTCAGATTCTGTCCCAACCTCTGGGCCCTCATTCACGTGAGACACACACTGAAGGCTCCTCAGGAGGCTGCTGCTCTCCACGTTCACGTACTTCCCAGGGAAGGAGTGTCCCCCCACAGGGCATCCAGTCCCCATGGAAAGAAGCCTGCTCTCTGTCCCTCTGCTCTTTCTGTCCTCTTCCTTCTGGCGGCACTCAGCTCAGCTTGCTCAATCACAGGCCTACTCATCCTTCACTCTCCTCCCTCAGCCCCACGTCCATGTACCAAGTGCCTTCAATGCCACCTTCCTCCATCCCCTCCCTCTAATACAGATCCCGTTCTACCCACTCTTTACCCACGGTGTTGTCCAGTGGGACCTTCAAGGGGAACATCTGCCAATGCGTACCTGGACCTTCAGAATGCTGTCCACACCCTTCAGGCAGCTCATGGTCCAGCTCTGCACCCTCATCCCTCTTCACACTCATCCCTCTCACCCTTGTCCCTCTTCACCCCCGTTCCTCTTCACCCTCGTCCTTCTCACCCTCGTCCCTCTCACTCTCGTCCCTCTTCACCTTCCTTTGTTCTGCTCTTCCTGAGTTACATGTGTTCCCCACCTCATGCTCTCTCTCTCCTGCTGCTTTGACGCCATGTTCTCTCTCCTCCTACACCCTCCGTGCCTCCCCGTGTGACACTCTCCTCCCAGCAGACAGTCTCTCCTCTGGCACCTCCCTGCCTCAGGCTGGACCAGCTGCCCCTCCTCTCTGTGCCCAGATGGCTTTGATACAACTTTCTGTGCCTCTGCCAGCGCCTCTGGTTTGGGATCCCCTGGGGTTGGTAAGAGCCCGCCATGAGGACCGGGCTGCCCAGCACCTCTTCCTTTAGGACAAGGCCAGCTCTCTGGGCGGACACATTTGGTGAAGGGCCCTGAAGAAGGTCTCCCAGCTGGGCAGCCGCAGTTGAGACTGGACTGACTGTCAGTGACTTACGGAGCTCTGGGTGCCCACGGCCACTGTCCTGGGATTAAGATCCCTTGGAACTGCTTCCGGACTGAAAGGTGCTCTTCAGGGACAGATACACCTGGTTCCCTCCTCACCTCACGTTGGAGAAGTTGCCTGAACGCTGTGTGCCCCAGGGCTTATGGTCCCGACTTAGTGACTCTCACATGCTGGGCACTCTAGCATTGCTGTGAGAACCAATGCTCTAGCATTACTGTGAGAACTAATACTCTAGCATTGCTATGAGAATTAAATACTATGAGAACTAAGCATTACTGTGAGAACCGATATGCAGCATTACTGTGAGAATTAATGCTGTATATTAATATAACAAATACCACACAGGCTTCACTGGGGTTCCCCCAAATCCCACCCATTCTCCCACTCTAGGAAGAACTCCAGAGAGTAAAGGGTCACCATGAGGGGCCTTACCAACTCCCGGCGGGACAAGCCATATCTCAGGTCAGCAACAAAACGCTCGCTGTTTTTAAGAAGAACTATGTAAGTCTTCTGGTCACCAATCATCTTCTTGGCGGAAGTGATGATCTCATCCACAGGCCGGGGCCTGTACTTATGGTCCAAGTGGTTGTTGACCTTGTAGGGAGAGCCGGAAGCTGCCATCTGCAGAGGCTCTTTTTTGACCTCAGCCCGGCCTCTCAGAAACATAGGCAATTTGGAGAAGCCAGTACTGCGTGACTGCCCTGGAACCACAGAGAGAGCCACAGGCAGGTGAGACAGGGAGCCAGGAGGAGGGGACAAAGGCACAAACCTACCAGTTGAGGGGGTTGGGGTGGCAGCTTTCCCAGGAAGGATGCGCAGAGTTACATATTCTGTTCTTTTCCTGAGCAAGGTGTCCTGAATTATTTTCTCATGTCGTAATGCCAGGGCAGTCAATGGCCGGGTCACAAGATAATGTCAGTGTTGTGTGAATGTGACCCATGCGCTTTTCCTGAGCATTTGGGTTGATGGAAAGCCGAGCCATGTGAAGCAGTTCTGTTAGGAATATACTCGTCTACCTGTGCATCTTTATACCCGGCTGTGCTTAGAATCAGATCTATTTTCATATATTTTCTGGCTTAATTCTCGTTGTACCCTTCAAGGAAAATAACATCATCTCCATTTTGCAAGCAATACGGGGCCCAGAGGGACATTAACCGTCAGGTCTGTGCTGTGAAAGCTCCTAGAACCACCGTGTGCTACTTTCTCTCCTGAGCTTGGAAGGCCAGGCTCCTTCCCTGCTCAGAGCTGAGGCCGAGGGAGCCCTGCACATCCGTGTCTCCTGTCCCATGGCCTGGCACAGGGAGAGGCCACAGAACAGCTCTCAGCTGATGGACCCCCAAGTCTGTTCTTTTTAAAAAATATGTCTTTATTGATTTCAGAGAGAGGGAGGGAGAGGGAGTTAGAAACATCAATGGTGAGAGAATCACCAATTGGCTGCTTCCTGCGTGCCCCCTATCTGGGATCGAGCCCGCAACCCAGGCATGAGTCCTGACGGGGAATCGAACCATGACCTTCTGGTTCATGGGTCAATTGATGCTCAACCACTGAGCACCACTGGTGGGGCCCAATTCCATTCTCCTAGGGAGTCCTGGGTGCATTTTCTAAGGGGAAGAGTAACATTGAGGACACTAATTAAGCACCCTACTCTCTGCTTCTAATCTCAAGGATGAAGGCTGAACTTGGAATCTATCCTGTTAACAAAACCTGCCCACACCTTGGAAGTCAGGTATGAAAAGGACCACATGTCCTCACAGTCATGCTCTCTCCTACAAGGCCCCCAAGTGTCATCTGGGTAAAATGAGCTTGATTAACTTTTTCCACTAAACCCCTGTGTTCCTCCAACACCGTCAGGACAAATGATGACTTGTGGGAAACACATAAGATGCAAAAAGTCGCATTCCCACACGGATGACAAGAATTTCCCCTGACGAAGACAGAGCATCAAAGGTTACATCGCCATTGCTCTGCGGGGCACGAGCCAGTCTGCATCGAACGCAGCAGGCTCATTCCAGCCCCCGTGGTGGTCTTCATGGACCACGCACCAGTTCCGTTCGTCCTCCTGTTAACGGCTTGTCATCGTCCTGCTTCCGCCATAGTTATGAGGTCGATGATCTATTCCCAGGTGCTTGCCATGCATTTTCATGAGAATTTCCCCTTTGAGTGGGCCCTTGGAAAGCTGCTTCTGCTAAGCAGCATCTATTACCGATACTAAGACACGGAGCTTGTGAAATCACACACTTTCGAAAACCACAACACAGAGGTCCCTTAGTATGGAAGACCTGGACCGTGAGCTCCCGATGAACTTGGCTGCGTTAAAGCACATCATCAGAGCCCCAGGTACGGAGGGAGCCAGTGCTGCCTGCCTAGAGATGCAAGGGAGGTCAGTGTATCCCTAACACAACTGCTTCTCAGGGCTCAGCTTTCAGGTGCGGAAGCAGCCCAGGGGCATGGTGGCACCAGGGAGCTTCCGCTGCGCTGCCAGGTCCGCTCGGACCCTGTGGGCACAGGGGCTGGGCGTGGACTCCACCCTGCACGAGCTCTGTGCAGGGAGAACGTGTCTCCCAACTCAGGCTCCCGTGCTGAGCTTTCATTTCAGCTGCTCTCGTTATCTTATTACAAACCCCTGGCAGATCCCGCTGTCAACAGGCCTTACCTGGAGGAGCCAGATGGATCACATCACCCTCGCCCACATAGAGTGCCCAGGTACAGTAGAACTGGTGAGAGATCTCAATCATGTCTCCGGGCCTGGGCTCTTCCTCACGCTGCAGGAGGAAAACCAGAAATGGTAGACGGGCTGCTAGGCAACAGCAGAGTTGCAGCACAGCCTGGGGACCACAGGCTGCTGTTCATCACCTGTCACAGGGGAATCCCTTGTCTTTCCTCTTTCTGACGGTCCCCAAGAGGGGGGACCGGAAGCTAGAACCCAGGAGAACGAACGTCTAGAATGGAGAAAGCAGCATGGTCCGGGGGACGTAGGGTGTGTGTGTGGTGTGTACATACACAGTGCATGAAGGCGGGTATATGCAAACACACAGTGCGTGCAGGTGTGTATGTGCAGGTGGGATGCACACGTGTCCTGATTGTAATGACATCACAGGCTGCATGTAGAACCACTTCCCTGAGGTGGGGGCCGCAGGCCCATCCCCAACAACCTGGGGCAGGTGAGTCTGAATGTCTCGGCCCTCACACACTGCCCTCCTGTCTCCATTACACCTCTGGCCCCGGCTGTGCTTGCCTGCAACACAGGCCTCTTCCAGCCTGGAGACACCCACCCTTGGAGATGCCGACCAGACAGAAGGAAGTGACAGCAGCCTTCCAGCCCCCAAGCCTTCCACGGGCCCAGTGTGGCTGCCCAGCATCCTGCACTGGTCAGGGAGGCGGCAGGTGGGGCTCACACACTCAGGCAGCAGGCTCTCCTGGCACACTGCCCATCACGACTGCCACCCTCCACAGCCCAGAGGAAGAAGTAGTGCCCAGCTGGGGAAACCGAGGATCAGAGCGGTAGAGGGACTTGCCCAGGGACACAGCTGGCAATGGCTGCACTGGGTCTTCACTACCCTCTCCCTTCCTGGTCCCGTTTCCATCTTCTCTCCCTGCTTTGCCCAACTCCTCCCTGCTCCTCATTGGCACTGCCCAGGGCACTGAGGCTTCCTGATTTGAGAATTTTCAGTTTATCTTCCTGTTTGTGCCTGACCGCAGCCAACCTCCTGCAGCGCTCACTCCAGGAGCCCAATCTGAGACCAGGGGCCAGCTTCCCTTTGTCCTCATTCCATGCCCATATCCTATCGATACAATGGTCATTTAGCCTGGAAGCTTCTCTGGAATCCACTTCTTTGTTAATCTTTCCCCCATGACTTCATTCAGGGTTATTCTGTTCCCGATTATGTGACCCCACACTTTCCTGTCCAACCCCCAGACTTCTGTCCCACCCACTCCAGGGCCTGTGTGAGCCTCCATGGGGGGGACACTCGCTCCTGATGGGGTGAGTAGTGGAGGGGGCTTCGTGCCTCGGCTCCTGGGGTGGCAAGAGCTCTGTGTCGGGGTTCTACCTTGGATCCAGCTTTGCAGGGGGAGGTGGCGGCAGAGCTGAGGGGGATGATGGGAAACCATGGCCTCAGGGGTCACTGTTCTATGTGTACTGTTCCTAGATGCAGCCTGGAAACTACTATGTCTACCCCCACCTCAGCCCTGAACTCCAGACTCATATGTCCAACTGCTACTCCACAGCTCTAGATAGATATCTAATGGTCACCTCAACACCCCACATGAGCATCAAATCCTTAATTTCCCTCCCACACCGGCTCCTTCTCACCTCTTCCTCCTCCATCCAGGCTGCCCATCACCAGTCACAGGGGCTGTGAGCCCTGGAGCTGCTGTGGTTCAGCAGAAAGAACAGTGACCGCTGGGGATTAAATCCTGTGTCTGCCTCTTAACTCGCTGTGTGTTGGTAAGAGGGAAAGAGGGAGGGGTAAGACTGTGCCCAGACCTTACACAACATGTTCTTGAACTCCTACAAAGGCCACATTTCTGAGTATCTCTTGCCTGAGGGCTCTCTGGGCCTTAGGACACCTGTCATGGTGCAGGGCTGGCCCAGACTTTCCCTGACAGCACACAGGGCAACAGGAGCTGCTTTAGGGTGGGACTTAGAGGTGAAGGATCCTAAAGGGATAGAGGAGCCTAGAGCCCCAGAGGTCCTCCAACATCCCCTCCTTCTGCACATGAGGAAACTGAGGCCAGAGAGGAAGTGACCTGTTAAAGACCCTGCGTGGATCAGGAACTGACCCAAGATTTGATCTCAGACATCCTAACGCCCTGCCAGCAAGAGACAGGGAGCATAATTTCATATCATTCCTGGTAAGGTTTTCTTCTGGCTGCACATTCCTGTCACCTCCATTCCAAGCAGACCCCAGAAGGGAGAGAGAGCCCCATTAGAGGGCCTTACCTGTTGGCTGGGGAAGTTGCTATATCTCAGATCCGTGACGAAGTGCTCACAGTTCCTGCTCAGAACAGGGTATTCTGTCTTCCTACCAACCAACCAGTTCCCAAGTTCAATGATCTTCTTCATGGGCCATGGTGTGTACACGTGGTCCAAGTAGTTGTTGACCTTATAGGAGCAGTTTTCCGCCACGTCCACAAGGAGCTCCCTTTTCACCACCCCTAAGCCGGTGGGGGAGCCTGCCTCCGAGTTCTCCTCTGGAATCAGACACAGGAGTATCAGGAACTGCAGGGAGGCCAGGGAGGGAGAGAGGAGACGCAAGACAGGGAGGAAGGGCCAGGGGATCACACTGTTGAGCTCTGGTGTCTGTCCCTTCACCAATGGGATTGGAGGATCCCATCATTTTGCTCTTTTCCTTAAGGAGCTGTGAGTACTTTTCATGATAATCAATGCTGTCATGGTTAGTGGCTGCCATTGTGCTCCATTATATGAATGGACATCATCTAGTTGACCAAGTCCCTACTATTGGCTAGTCCAGAGCTTATCCATTGTAAACAACGGTAGTAAATTGTACTTGTTCATCTTTGCACTTGTGTGTTTCAGAAAGAGATCAAAGTTGTTCTGGACCTACTGTGTTTCAGACACTCTGCTGTGATAATCCTATATTATAAAGCAACTGAATGGCAGACCAACCAGAACGACTGAACGACCATGGACCCTTGTCTGGCTGGCTCCTCCCACCCGCCCGTCCCCCATTCCCGCCGGCCCCTCCACGCCTAACTCACTGCCTGGCTCCCTGGTGCATATACATCTAGTGAAGGACAAGAAAATAAACATCAGTCCCTTCTGTCCCTGACCAGAATTCCCAGAGGGCTCTGCTAATACTGCAGTCAAGGTGTGGAATTCTCCCTCCATGGCCCACAGCCCCAGGAGACCCTCCAAATTAGCCAAAGGACAGCCTAAGCTTTACGGGGATGGCGGCCCTTTGCGGAGGAATGGAGAGAGGCTGGGTGGGGGTTTGTGACATTGCACTGCCTTGCAGATTAGGTGAGCCTCCAATCTCTTTAAAAGCAGCGGCCAAGAGGACCTGTAGGCTGCTAGGAGCAACAGTGAAGGGTAGGCACATTCAAAATCAGAAAAACTTTTCAACAAACAGACACGAAGATCATCTTGGGAAACTGAGGGCAGAGTCCCAGGAAGAAGGCAAAAATCATTCAAGGGCCATCATCCATCTTGATACACTTTGGCAAAGAACACATAAACTTCATCTCATGGCACAAAACCATCCTTTTTTTGTGTGCGTTTTTTGTGCCATCCTTAAAGTATAATTAGAAGCAGCTGGGGGAAAGCTATACCTGCCAGCATTAGACCCCACGGTGGGCCCTGCCCAATGTACCCTATCAGGGCGGGGCTGCCGTACCCCACCTTGCACGAATTCATGTACTAGACCTCTACTTACACACATTCCCTCACTTATTCTCCTTTTGAATTTCTTGGGTAAAATTCTCATCTCCATTTTAGAACCGAAAGTGAACATGAGGCATCATTGGCCGCCTCTGGCCCAGCTCTGGCCACATGGAGAGGCCACACAGCGCTTCCAGCTGGTGGCGTCCAGTCCATTGAGCCTGGAGCCGGGTTTGGCTCTCTAAGAGGAGGGAACTGAGGAGCACGCTAACCAGCAGGCTCCTTTGTGTGTGAGGCTCCAGGCTGGTGCTGCACTTAGCACTGCCCTTGAGGAAGCACGTCCTGCTCACTCCCACACCAGCAGGACCCGCTCCTCACACTCACCTCCCTGTTCCAAGCCTCCTGAGTGTCGCCTGGATTAGGGGGTTTTGCTTACTATTTGTCATCAATGCTGACAGTTTTCAATGCTGTCAGTGTAGGTGACAGTGCATAGGAACCTGGTCAGTTACAGGGAGATTCTTGTGATCATGAGACGGTTTCTGTCCAGCGAGAATGCAAATGCTTGCTGTCGGAGGTGTGGGTGCCATTGCTCTGCAGGGGCCTGTGCCTCCCAGTCCGAGGTCTCATCCCTGCACCTTCCTGTCATGGATGGTGCTGCCTTCTCCTCTGACTGCCTGTCATCCTGCTTCTGCTCTCCCTGTGCTACATCAGGGTCCAGGTGCTCATGTGTGTGAGACTCTCTGTGACGTGTGACCTGGGAGAGCTGCTGCGTGGGGGGTGTTCAGAAACCCTCTCAGGACGCCCTGTTCTGTGACGTCCTCTGAGCACAGGGCACAGCCTGAGAGGCAGTCCCTCCATGAGACCGGGACACCCAGACACGCTGCTGGTTTAGAGAGATCTGTCTGCTCGCCCAGCTACCGGCCTGAGCTGGAGCATGTCCAATGCAGGCGCAGCTGGCTTCCCTGGGGTCCACGGACCTCAGTCCTGCTGAGTCAGGACCCGAGGGGCCACTGAGATGTCTCCAAGGAACACGGATGTACAGTGAGCACATGCACTGCCCAGGGAGAACCAACACGGGTTCCAGGGTGGCATTTGGCTTTTAATTGTTCTCATCATGGTAACAAATCTCTGGAAAGTTACACTTTCAACCCCCTTACCTGGGGGAGCCAGGTGGATCACATAACCATCGCCCTCATAGAGGACCCAATGGGAGGAGCCGATGCGGGAAATCTCAATCAGGTCTCCAGGCTTGGGCTCTTCACGAAACTGCAAGAGAACAGCCAGGAAGGTGAGGCAGAGTTCAGGGAGCTGCAGAGGCCCAGCTGGGGATTGGCTTATTAATGCTCACCCCATGGGAAGAATGTGTGTGTGTGTGTGTGTGTGTGTGTGTGTGTGTGTGTGGTGGACTCATGTCCCCTATGAGGTCCTTAGGCTGCAGTAGCTTCTAGAGAGTGCCTCGTTAGTAACTGGAGGCCTGGAAAAATAAGGAGTATTATTGGCAGAAACGTTTTGTCCAGAATGTGTGTGTGATGCATGAGGCTCTGTGTGTATTGTGCATGGATATGTTGTGTGTTGCGTGTACATACTCTCACACATGGATGTAGACATGCCTATGCAGATGTATTGTGTATATGTCTGGAGGGTGATAACATAACAGCCTGCATCTAAATTCCTTCCCTTAGGCTGGGGTCCTGGCCCATCCCCCACAACATTGTCCATGTGAGTCTGAGCTTCTCTGCTCTCACACACTGACCCTCATGTCTCCATCATGTGTTTGCCCTGGCTGTGCATGGCCCCAACACCCACCACCTCACACTCTGCCCTCCCCAGCCCTGGTACACGAGCCCTTGAAGATGCTGAACTGACAGACAGCAGGTGACAGCTTCCTAAGGGCCCCTGAGCATTGGAGAAGGCCCTACTGCTGTTGCCCAGCTTCCTGCCCTGGGGACAGGGCTCACAGCCACACAGCAGGCTCTGCCGTCACATTTCCCCCATAGCTGCCACCCTCCCAGGCCCAGGGGGAGGAAGCAGCACCCACGTGCTCAGCTGGGGAAACTGAGGGTCAGAGAGGTAGAGGGATGTGCCCAGGACCACTCAGCTGGTAGTGGCTGCTCTGGGTCTTCTCTGCCCCGTCCCTTCCTGGTCCCCTTTTCTCCCTCCATCCCTTGCTCACCTCATCCCTGCTCCTCAGTGTCCCTGCCCAGGGCACTACAGCTTCCTGATTTGAGAATTTTCAGTTTATCTTCCTGTTTGTGTGTGACCGCAGCAAACCTCCTGCAGCACTCACCCCAGGAGCCCAATCTGAGACCAGGGGCCAGCTTCCCTTTGCCCTCATTCCATGCCAATATCCAACAATGGTCACTTAGCCTGGAAGCTTCTCTGGAATCCATTTCTTTGTTCATCTCTACTCATGATTTTATTCAGGGCCATTCTGTTCCCAATTATGTGACCCCACATTTTCCTGTCCACCCCCCTCACTTCTGTATACCCACTCCAGGGCCTGCGTGAGCCTCCATGGTGGGTCATTTTGTCCTGATGGGGGTAGTAAGGGAGGGGGCTTCCTGCCTGGGCTCCTGGGGCCAGAGCTCTGGGGGTGAAAGTGGGAATGGCTCTGTGGTCTGGGCTCTACCTGGGCTCCAGCTCTGCAGAGGGAGGTGGTGGCAGAGCTGAGGGGGATGATGGGAAACCATGGCCTCAGGGATCACTGTGCTCTGTGTACTGTTCCCAGGTGCAGCCTGGAAACTTCTATCTCCATCCCCACCTCAGCCCTGAACTCCAGACTCACACGTCCAACTGCTACTCAACAGGTCCACCTGGATGTCTAATGCTCACCTCAACACCCCCCATGGAGCAGCAAATCCTTAATTTCCCTCTCAAACCCCCTCCTGTCATCATCTTCCTCCTTTCAGGCTTCCCATCACCCAGTCACAGGGGCTGTGAGCCCTGGAGCTGCTGTGGTTCAGCAGAAAGAGCAGGGACCATTGGGGATTGAATCCTGCTTCTGCCTCTTAACTCGCTGTGTGTTGGTAAGAGGGAAAGAGGGAGGGGTAAGACTGTGCCCAGATCTTACATAACATGTTCTTGAGCTCCTACATAGGCCACAGACCTGAGCATCTCTTGCCTGAGGGCTCTCTGGGGCCTTAGGACACCTGTCATGGTGCAGGGCTGGCCCAGACTTTCCCTGACAGCACTCAGGGCATCAGGAGCTGCCTTTAGGGTGGGTCTCAGAGACAAAGGATCCTAAAGGGAAAGGAGTGGTCTGTGCCTCAGAGGTCCTCCAACATCCCCTCCCTCTGCACATGGGGAAACTGAGGCCAGAGAGGAAGTGACCTGTTAAAGACCCTGAGTGGATCAGGAACTGACCTGAGATTTGATCTCAGACATGCTAAGTGCCAGCCAGCAGAAGGGAGGGAGCATAATTTTGCATCATTCACGATAAGTTTTTCTTCTGGATCAAAGCCTTCTCTTTCCTATCCCCCAAGCATATGTCTAAGAGGGAGAAGGAGCCCCCCCCAGGGAGGGCCTTACCTGCCGGCTTCGGGCCTTGCCATATCTCAGATCGAAGACGAAGTGCTCACTGTTTCTCCTCAGATCATTGTCCTCCATCTCCTTACCAACCATCTCCTTCCCAGACTTGAGTATCTTCTTTATGGGACGAGGTTTGTACAGGTGGTCCAAGTGGTTGTTCACCTTATAGGAGCTGTTTTCCACCACTGCCTCAAGGAGCTGCCTTTTCACCACCTCTAAGCTGGTTGGGGTACCAGCCCCAGACTTCTCCCCTGGAATCAGACACAGGAGTATCAGCAACTGCAGGGAGGCCAGGGAGGCAGAAGACACAAGACAGGGAGGAAGGGCCAGGTGAGCTCTGGTGTCTGTCCCTTCACCAATGTGATGAGAGGATTCACGGATTTTACTCTTTTACTTAATGAGCTGTGACTACTTTCTCAAGCTAATGAGTACTGTGATGCTCAGTGGCTGCTATTGTGCTCCATGATATGAATGGACATCATCTAGTTGACCAATCCACCGTCATTGACCCTTCTCGTCCATGAGACCAGGACACCCAGAAAGGTGACTGTTCTAATGAAATCTATCTGCTCGCCCAGCCAAAGGGCCGGAGGGAGAGCTCCTAATGCTGACATAGCTCGATTTCACTGAAGCCCACAGACCTCTTTCCCTGCTGTGTGAGGGTCTGGGAAACCACTGAGATGACCCTAAGGGACACAGATGTAGTGGGAACCCAAGCATTGCTTCAGGAAGAAACTACGCGGTTTCCCAGGGTGGCATGTGGCTTTGAATTGTCCCAGTCAGCTTAACAAATCTCTGGAAAGTAACACTTTCAAACCCCTTACCTGGGGGAGCCAGGTGGATCACATAACCATCGCCCTCATAGAGGGCCCAATGGGAGGAGCCGATGCGGGAAATCTCAATCAGGTCTCCAGGCTTGGGCTCTTCACGAAACTGCAAGAGAACAGCCAGGAAGGTGAGACAGAGTTCAGGGAGTGGCAGAGGCCCAGCTGGGAGTTGTGCTCTGCCGGACATTTGTGTACTGATGCTCGCCCCATGGAAAACGTGTGTGTGTGTATGTGTGTTGGGGGTGTGTGGCCAGGGGGGGTGGGGGGAAACTCATTTCCCATGTGAGGTTCTCCTGGGAGTAACTAGAAACCTGGAAAAATGACCATGTGCATTGGGAGAGTGAAGATTTGTCCAAAATGTATATGCAAGACATGGGTGTGTATCTGTGTTTATTGTGCATGGATATGTTGTATGTTGCATGTACATACACACACTAGGATGCAGATCCGCATATACAGGTGTATTGTGTGTGTGTCTGGAGAGTGGCAACACAACAGCTTATATGTAAACCCATTCCTTCCCTGAGGCTGGGGCCCAGGCCCATTCCCACAACATTGTCCAGGGGAGTATGAGCTTCTCTCCTCACACACACTGACCCTCCTGTCTCCATCATGTGTTTGCCCTGGCTGTGCATGGGCCCAACAGCCACCACCTCACACTCTTCCCTCCCCAGCTCCGGCACACGAGCCCTTGAAGATGCTGAACTGACAGACAGCAGGTGACAGCTTCCTAAGGGCCCCTGAGCATTGGAGAAGGCCCTACTGCTGTTGCCCAGCTTCCTGCCCCGGGGACAGGGCTCACAGTCACACAGCAGGCTCTGCCCGCACATTTCCCCCATAGCTGCCCCCCTCCCAGGCCCAGGGAAAGGAAGCAGCACCCACGTGCTCAGCTGGGGAAACTGAGGGTCAGAGAGGCAGAGGGACTTGCCCAGGACCACTCAGCTGGCAGGGGCTTCTCTGGGTCTTCTCTGCCCCGTCACTTGTCTGTCCCCTTTCTTTCCTGCCTGCCTTTTCCACATCCTCCCTGCTCCTCAGTGCCATTGCTCAGGGTACCACAGGTCCCTGATTTGAGAGTTTTCAGTTTAACATCCTGTTTGTGTGTGACCTCAGTTAACCTCGTGCAAAGCTCACCTCAGGCCACCCAATCTAAGACCAGGGGCCAACTTCCCTTTGCCCTCAATCCATGCTCATAATCTACAATGGTCACTTAGCCTGGAAGCTTCTCTGGAATTCACTTCTTTGTTCATGTTTCCGCCAAGACTTTATTCAGGGTCATCCCGTTATAAATTATGTGACTCCATGTTTTCCAGACCAACCGACAGACTTCTGTCCCACCCACTCCAGGGCCTCTGTGAGCCTCCATAGTGGGGCTACTTGGTCCTGACAGAGGTGGGTAAGACAAGGGCTTCCTGCCTGGGCTCCTGGGGCAGAACTCTGGGGGTGAAAGTGGGGATGGCTCTGTGGTCTGGGCTCTACCTGGGCTCCAGCTCTGCAGAGGGAGGTGGTGGCAGAGCTGACGGGGACGATGGGAAACCAGGGCCTCAGGGATCACTGTGCTCTGAGCACTGTTCCCAAGTGCAGCCTGGAAACATCTATGTCCACCCCCACCTCAGCCTGAAACTCTACACTCACACGTCCAACTGCTACTCAACAGGTCCACCTGGATGGGTAACTGTTCACCTCCAACACCCCATCTGAGCAAGAAATCCTTACTTTCTATCTGCAACCTGCTCTACTTCCTGTCATTCCCCTGTCTCTATGGATAGATAACCCCATCATTGATCCTCCTGCCCTGGAGGTGCTGTGATTAAGCAGAAAGACCGGGGGACACTGGGGTTTCAATCCTTACTAGCTTGTGTTGAGAAATGGCAAGGAGGAAGGGGTTAAAGCTGAGCCAACATCTTATATTAATTTGGGTGGAGAGGGGAGGGGGCAGCACCCAGTTGTTCACATGGTGAAACTGAGGCATGGGGAGGAAGTGCCCTGTCAGAAGACTCTGAGGGGATTAGCAGAAGACCTAAGTTTTGCTCTCAGATGTGACTCCCAGCCAGTGGAACCCCAAGAGCCCATGTTTGCATCACTCAGGGTAATTTTTCTTCTGGGTAGTTAGGTCCCTCACCCCCATCACAAGCAGACCTCCAGAAGGTAGAAGGAACTTTCCCTCCCCCAGGGCCTTACCTGCCGACCACTGGCCTTGCCATATCTCAGATCGGTGACAAAGTGCTCAGAGCTCCTGCTCAGAACACTGTACTCCATCTCCATACCAACCATCTCTTCCGCAGCAGTGAGCATCTCCATTATGGGCCGAGGTTTGTACAGGTGGTCCAAGTGGTTGTTGACTTCATAGGAGCAGTTTTCCACCACTTCCTTGAGGAGCTCCCTTTTCACCACCCCTAAGCCGGTGGGGGCACCACCCTCAGACATCTCCCCTGGAATCAGACACACGAGTATCAGGAACTGCAGGGAGGCCAGGGAGGGAGAGAGGAGACACAAGACAGAGAGGAAGGGCCAGGGGATCACACTATTGACCTCTGGTGTCTGTCCCTTCACCAATGGGATTGGAGGTTTCCATCATTTTGCTCTTTTCCTTAACGAGCTGTGACTACTTTTCATGTTAATCAATGTTGTGATGGTCAGTGGCTGCCACTGTGTTCCATTATATGAATGGACATCATCTAGTTGACCAAGTCCCTACTATTGGCTGGTCCAGAGCTTATCCACTGGAAACAACGGTAGTAAATTGTATTTGTTCATCTTCGCACTTGTGTGTTTCAGAAAGAGCTGACAGTTGTTTTAGTACCACTGGGTTTCAGACTCTGCTGTGCAAATTTCATACATTCCCTCACTTATTCTCCTTTTGAACTTCAGGGTAAAAGTCTCATCTCCATTTTAGAACCTATAGTGGTCCCTGAGGCATCATCGGCCTTTTCTGGCCCAGCTCTGGCCACATGGAGAGGCCACACAGCGCTTCCAGCTGGTGGCGTCCAGTCCATTGAGCCTGGAGCCGGGTTTTGCTCTCTAAGAGGAGGGAACTGAGGAGCACGCTAACCAGCAGGCTCCTTTGTGTGTGAGGCTCCAGGCTGATGCTGCACTTAGCACCGCCCTTGAGGAAGCACGTCCTGCTCACTCCCACACAGGCAGGACCCGCTCCTCACACTCACCTCCCTGTTCTAAGCCTCCTGAGTGTCGTCTGGATTAGGGGGTTTTGCTTACTATTTGCCATCAATGCTGACAGTTTTCAACGCTGTCAGTGTAGGTGACAGCACATAGGAACCTGGTCAGTTACAAGGAGATTCTTGTGATCATGAGACGGTTTCTGTCCAGCGAGAATGCAAATGCTTGCTGTCCGAGGTGTGGGTGCCATTGCTCTGCAGGGCACCAGCCCCTGTGTTTCCCAGTCCACGGTCTCATCTCAGCACCTTCCTGTCATGGACGTACACATGTGTGTGCTCTGCCTTCTCCTCTGATTGCCTGTCATCCTGCTTCTGCTCTCCCTGTGCTACATCAGGGTCCAGGTGCTCATGTGTGTGAGATTCTCTGTGACGTGTGACCTGGGAGAGCTGCTGCATGGGGGGTGTTCAGGAAACCCTCTCAGGATGCCCTGTTCTGTGACGGCCTCTGAGCACAGGACACAGCCTGAGAGGGAGTCCCTCCATGAGACCGGGACACCCAGACACGCTGCTGGTTTAGAGAGATCTGTCAGCTCGCCCAGCTAATGGGCCCGAGCTGGACAGTGTCCAATGCGGGTGCAGCCTGGCTTCTCTGGGCCCACAGACCTCTGTGCCTGCTGAGTCAGGACCCGAGAGACCACTGAGATGCCTCCAAGGAACACGGATGTACAGTGAGCACACGCACTGCCCAGAGAGAACAAACATGGGTTCCTAGGGTGGCATTTGGCTTTGAATTGTTCTCGTCATGTTAACAAATCTTTGGTGAGTTACACTTTCCACCCCCTTACCTGGGGGAGCCAGGTGGATCACATAACCATCTCCCACATAGAGCGCCCAGTGCGAGGAGCCGATGCGGGAAATCTCAATCAGGTCTCCAGGCTTGGGCTCTTCACGGAGCTGCAAGAGAACAGCCAGGAAGGTGAGGCAGAGTTCAGGGAGCTGCAGAGGCCCTGGCTGGGAGCTGAAGCTGCGCCTGGGGATTTGCTTACTGATGCTCACCCCATGGGAAGAGTGTGTGTGTGTGCGTTGAGGGGACTCAACTTCCCTGTGAGGTCCTCAGCCTGCTGTAGCTTCTAGAGGGTGCCCTGGGAGTAACTGGAGGCCTGGAAAAATGACTTTGTGCATTGGGAGCCTGAAGATTTGTTCACAATGTGTTTATAAAGCATGTGTGGATGTGTATATTGTGAATGGGCATGTTTGGTGTTGTCTATACATGCACACACACAGAGATGCAGGCATGCATATGTAGTTGTACTGCATATGTGTCTGGAGGTGGTAACACAACAGCCTGTATGTAAACCCCCTTCCCTGAGGCTGGGGCCCAGGCCCATCCCCCACAACAATGTCCAGGTGAGTCTCAGCTGCTCTGCTCTCACACACTGACCCTCATGTCTCCATCATGTGTTTGCCCTGGCTGTGCATGGGCCCAACACCACCACATCATACTCTGCCCTCCCCAGCCCTGGCACACAGGCCCTTGAAGATGCTGAACTGACAGACAGCAGGTGACAGCTTCCTAAGGGCCCCTGAGCATTGGAGAAGGCCCTACTGCTGTTGCCCAGCTTCCTGCCCTGGGACAGGGCTCACAGTCACACAGCAGGCTCTGCCCGCACATTTCCCCCATAGCTGCCCCCCTCCCAGGCCCAGGGGGAGGAAGCAGCACCCACGTGCTCAGCTGGGGAAACTGAGGATCAGAGAGGCAGAGGGACTTGCCCAGGACCACTCAGCTGGCAGTGGCTGCTCTTGGTCTTCTCTACCCCGTCCCTTCCTGGTCCCCTTCCCTCCCTCCCTGCCTTGCTCATCTCCTCCTGCTCCTCAGTGTCCCTGCTCAGGGCCCTGCAGCTTCCTGATTTGAGAATTTCAGTTTATCTTCTTTTATTGTGTGACTTCAGCAAACCTCCTGCAGCGCTCACCCCAGGAGCCCAATCTGAGACCAAGGGCCAGCTTCCCTTTGCCCTCATTCCATGTCCATATCCAACAATGGTCACTTAGCCTGGAAGCTTCTCCAGAATTGACTTCTTTGTTCATCTTTCCCCCATGACTTTGTTCAGGACCATCCTGTTCCTGATTATGTGACCCCATGTTTCCCTGACGAACCCCCAGACTTCTGTCCCACCCATTCCAGGGCCTGTGTGAGCCTCCATAGTGGGCCACTCGGTTCTGACAGAGGTAGATAAAGCAAAGGACTTCCTGCCTGGGCTCCTGGGGCCAGAGCTCTGGGGGTGAAAGTGGGAATGGCTCTGTGGCTGGGGCACTACCTGGGCTCCAGCTCTGCAGAGGGAGGTGGTGGCAGAGCTGAGGGGGACGATGGGAAACAATGGCCTCAGGGGTCACTGTGCTCTGTGTACTGTTCCCAAGTGCAGCCTGGAAACTTCTATCTCTACCCCCACTTCAGCCCTGAACTCCAGACTCACATGTCCAACTGCTACTCCACAGCTCCACCTGGATGTCTAATGGTCACCTCTAAATAACTGCACATGACTATCAAATTCTTAATTTCCTTCCAAACCTGATCCTTCTTTTTCCATCTACTGGATCCAGGCTGCCCATCACCCAATCACAGGGGCTGTGAGCCCTGGAGGTGCTGTGGTTCAGCAGAAAGAGCAGGGACCACAGGGGTTTGAATCCTGCTTGTGCATCTTAACTTGCTGTGTGTTTGTAAGTGGGAAAGAGGGAGGGGTAAGACTGTGCCCAGACCTTACATAACATGTTCTTGAGCTATCACATAGGTCACAGACCTGAGCATCTCTTGCCTGAGGGCTCTCTGGGGCCTTAGGACACCTGTCATGGTGCAGGGCAGGCCTACACTTTCCCTGACAGCACACAAGGCATCAGGAGTTGCCTTTAGGGCAGGTCTTAGAGACAAAAGTTCTTAAAGGAACCGAGGTGGCCAGAGCCCCAGAGGTTCTCCAAACATCCCCTCCTTCTGCACATGGGGAAACTGAGGCCAGAGAGGAACGACCTGTTTAAATACTCTTAGTTGATCACGATCAGATTTGAGATTTGATCTCAGACAGCCTAACTGCCAGCCAGCAGGAGACAGAGAGCATAATTTTACATCATTCGGGGCAAAATTTTCTTCTAGCAGTAAGCCCTGTCACATGATCACAAGGAAACCCTCATAAGATAGAAGGAGCCTCCAACAGAGGGCCTTACCTGTTGCCTGGGGGCATTGCCATATCTCAGTTCAGTGACCAAATGCTCATAGTTCCTGCTCAGAACACTGTACTCCATCTTCTTACCAACCACCTCCTTCGCATATCTGAGCATCTCCTTTATGGGCCGAGGTTTGTACAGGTGGTCCAAGTGGTTGTGAACCTTATAGAAGCATTGTCCCACCACGTCCACGAGGAGCTCCCTTTTGACCACCCCTAAACCGGTGGGGGCGCCAGACTCAGAGTTCTCCCCTGGAATCAGACACACAAGTATCAGCAACTGCAAGGGAGGCCAGGGAGGGAGAGAGGAGACACAAGACAGGGAGGAAGGGCCAGGGGATCACACTATTGATCTCTGGTGTCTGTCCCTTCACCAATCTGATTTTACTCCTTTTACTTAATGATTTTTCAAGCTAGGAATAACTTTTCAAGCTAATGAATATTTTGAAGGCCAGGAGCTGCTATTGTTCTCCATTTTATGAATGGACATTATCTAGTAGACAACCCACCGTTATTGATCATTCTCCTTTATGAGACTTGGACACCAAGATACATTGCTGGATTAATCTCTAGGTACATCCAGCTGAAGGCATGGAGCTGGAGAGTTCCAAATGCTGATGAAGCCCAGCTTTGCTGAGGCTCATGGACCTATTACACTGCTGTGAGTGGACCCCAGGGTCCACTGAGATGCTTCCAAAGATCATGGACAAAGGAGAGGTCAAGCACAGCTCAGGGAGGAACCAACACTGGATTCCCAGGGTGGCGTCCCGCTTTGAAATGTCCTCATCATGGTAACAAATCTCTGGAAAGTTACACTTTCAACCCCCTTACCTGGCGGAGCCAGGTAGATCACATAACCATCGCCCTCATAGAGGGCCCAATGGGAGGAGCCGATGCGGGAAATCTCAATCAGGTCTCCAGGCTTGGGCTCTTCACGGAGCTGCAAGAGAACAGCCAGGAAGGTGAGACAGAGTTCAGGGCAGTGGCAGAGGCCCAGCTGGGAGTTGTGCTCTGCCTAGGGATTTGCTTACTGATGCTCACCCCATGGGAAGCATGTGTGTGTGTGTGTGTGTGTGTGTGTGTGTGTGTGTGCTCAGGCGTGCGGGAGAGATTCATTTCCCATGTGAGGTCCTCAACCTGTTATAGTTTCTAGAGGTTTCCCTGTAATTGGAAGCCTGGAAAAATGACCTTGTGCATTGGGAGAGTGAAGATTTGTCCAGAATGTGTATGCAAGGTATGGGTATGCATCTGCATTTATTGTGCATAGATATGTTGTATGTTGCATGTACATGGACACACTAGGATGCAGACACGCATACACAGGTGTATTGTATATATGCCTGGAGGGTGGACATACAGAAGCATATATATAAAACCCATTCCCCGAGGGTAGGGCCCAGGCCCATCCCCACAACCTTGTCCAGGTGAGTCTGAGCTTCTCTGCTCTCACACACTGACCCTCATGTCTCCATCATGTGTTTGCCATGGCTGTGCATGGCCCCAACACCCACCGCCTCACATTCTGCCCTCCCAGCCCTGGCACATGGAGTCTTGAAGATGCTGAACTGACAGACAGTAGGTGACAACTTCCTAAGGGCCCCTGAGCATTGGAGAAGGCCCTACTGCTGTTGCCCAGCTTCCTACCCCGGGGACAGGGCTCACAGTCATTCAGCAGGCTCTGCCCACACATTTCCCCCATAGCTGCCCCCCTCTGAGGCCCAGGGGGAGGAAGCAGCACCCACGTGCTCAGCTGGGGAAACTGAGGATCAGAGAGGTAGAGGGACTTTACCAGGACCACTCAGCTGGCAGTGGCTATGCTGGGTCTTCTCTGCCCCATCCCTTCCTGGTCCCCTTTCTTCCCTCCATGTCTTACCACCTCCCCCTGCTCCTCAGTGACACTGCTCAGGATATCACAGGTCCCTGATTTGAGAATTTTGAATTTAACGTCCTGTATGTGCGTGACTTCAGCTCACCTCCTGCAGCGCTCACCCCAGGAGCCCAATCTGAGACCAGGGACCAGCTTCCCTTTGCCCTCATTCCATGTCCATATCCTACAATGGTCACTTAGCCTGGAAGCTTCTCTGGAATTCACTTCTTTGTTCATGTTTCCCTTTGACTTCATTCAGGGTCATTCGGTTCCAAATTATGACTCCACGTGTTTTCCTGACGAACCCCTAGACTTCTGTCCCACCCACTCCAGGGCCTCTGTGAGCCTCCATGGTGGGGATACTTAGTCCTGGCAGGGATGGTAGGAAAGGGGGGTTCATGCCTGGGGTCTTGGGGCCAGAGCTCTAGGGGTGAAGGTGGGAATTGCTCTGTGGTGAGAGGCTCTACCTGGGCTCCAGCTTTGCAGAGGGAGGTGGTGGCAGAGCTGAGGGGAGATGATGGGAAACAATGGCCTCAGGGATCACTGTGCTCTGTGTACTGTTCCCAAGTGCAGCATGAAAACTTCTATGTCCACCCCCACCTCTGCCCTGAACTCCAGACTCACAAGTCCAACTCCTACTCAACAGGTTCCCCTGGATGTCTAACTGGTCACCTCAACACCCCATCATGCAAGAAATCCTTAGTTTCTATCTGCAACCTGCTCTACTTCCTGTCATTCCCCTCTCTCTATGGATAGATAACCCCATCATTGATCCTCCTGCCCTGGAGGTGTTGTGATTAAGCAGAAAGACCAGGGACCTCTGGGGTTTCAATCCTTACTAGCTTGTGTTGAGAAATGGCAAGGAGGAAGGGGTTAAAACTGAGCCAACATCTTATATTAATTTGGGTGGAGAGGGGAGAGGGCAGCACCCAGTTGTTCACATGGTGAAACTGAGGCATGGGGAGGAAGTGCCCTGTCAGAAGACTCTGAGGGGATTAGCAGAAGACCTAAGTTTTGGTCTCAGATGTGACTCCCAGCCAATGGAACCCCAAGAGCCCATGTTTGCATCACTCAGGGTAATTTTTCTTCTGGGTAGTTAGGTCCCTCCCCCCCATCGCAAGCAGACCTCCAGAAGGGATAGGGAGACCTCCACAGAGGGCCTTACCTGCCGGCTGATGGCCTTGCCATATCTCAGATCGGTGACAAAGTGATCACAATTGCCGCTCAGAACACTGTACTCAATCTTCTTACCAACCATCTCCTCCGCAACAGTGAGCATCTGCTTTGTGGACCGAGGTTTGTACAGGTGGTCCAAGTGGTTGTTGACTTCATAGGAGCAGTTTTCCACCACTTCCTTGAGGAGCTCCCTTTTCACCACCCCTAAGCCGGTGGAGGCGCCAACCCCTGAGTTCTCCCCTGGAATCAGACACACGAGTATCAGGAACTGCAGGGAGGCCAGGGAGGGAGAGAGGAGACACAAGGCAGGAAGGAAGGGCCAGGGGATCACACTATTGACCTCTGGTGTCTGTCCCTTCACCAATGAGATTGAAGGATTCCATCATTTTGCTCTTTCCCTTAAGGAGCTGTGAATACTTTTTATGTTAATCGATGTTGTGATGGTCAATGGCTGCCACTGTGTTCCATTATTTTAATGGACACCATCTAGTTGACCACATCCCTACTATTAGCTGGTCCATAGCTTATCCATTGTAAACAACAGTAGTAAA